GAGTCCAGTTGATAAAGCCGTAGGCAAAAGTATTTTAATCAATTGATCATTTGGTTGTACCCATTTGTTAACCTTTGCATAAGGTAAGCTGGACAACAAATTTTGATACTTGGCAGAAAATGCATTGGAAAATTGGTCCATGAATAAAGTTGGTTCTTGTGGTAAGTATAGAAAAATAAGATGTTCTTTTGGAAAGTATAGCAAACGAGTTGCTAGAGTGCATACCATATATTCGTGAAAAAGTTAACCGTAACAAAATCGTAAAAATCAGTACAAAGTTTCGTAGGTCTACGGTTTACTGAGGCCTATTGAACTTTCTACTGAATCAGTGCAAATTTGMGCGATTTCTTACAAAGTATTTCAACGATTTATATATTATGTATTCTAAGATACGTATATTGTACAAAAACAACGTAGAAGGTAGTTGGGCCATTCCAAGACCATAGTAAATCTTGGATCTGCATTATCGGATGAGTCATTGTTTAGTCCAAGGTTACGCCGTTACTTTACGATACTCGGCTGGACATTAGAATCTCATTTCCTTAACCACAAATTAACAGCTGTTTAATTATGGTTTACGAACATGCAAATGGATTTTSATTTTTTAATTGATATGTTCCACCACTCCTTTGGAGTTTTACTGAAGGGAGATGCCTGATTATAGAGAGCTAGATATTCAAGGTATGTGGGCCTTAACCTCAAACATCTACTGAATGATTTACGTTTCATTGCCGACTGACATAATCATGCAACCATACACCATGCGTGACTGCATAATATCAATTAACTTTTCAATGATTTAGAAATCATAAAACAAATGTGCCATTGAGGGAATCAGAACATGCGAAGTCGGTCTACAACCAGAGACACTATCGCCAGCCAAAAGGATGATATCAGTTAATGTTCTTGTATAAAGTAAATTATTTATTTGAGATTCTAGATTGTAAAAGAACAGATATATAGACATTTAGGTTGCACAGAATGGGATTATTTGTGGTTCGAGTACAGTTTGTTGTGATGCTAATGGCGTTCAGGATGTTATGGACGACTTCATATGCAAGCGGTAAGTGTACGTTTGACAGAACTTATAATACTGTACAATCGTTTAATCGGTTCCCCAAGGATATTTTATTCGCATCAAAAATTAAGCTTGAATACATAGAAATTCAGTAAATTTTTAGAGTTTGCTGCAACATTTAAAAAAGTCTTGCACGGTGCATCTCTTTTGCTCAGCGTTTGATTTGTGAATGTCACGWAAAAAGTTGTACCTTTTCTTGCATGCGAAAAAAAGACATAAAAATGAGTGTTATTTGTTCTTATCTGCTTGCAATACTTGTAGAATTTAGT